TTCTGTTATCGTTATCCCTCGTCTTTCTTTTTCGTCTTCTGTAGGAACCGTCTTCTTGCTCTTCTTAGATTTCCCTGTGCCCCTCTCTGTCTCTCCTATGCTCCTGTTACATAAGACTAAGCTTCTGTTGTTCAGCTCATTGCGCTGGCTTGGGCACGCCCACATCTTCTGTCTTGCTGGAGTAGTGATGGTATTGATAGGCGGTTGGTCGGGCTATTAATAGCTGCACCAAATGAATGGAACTGAGGGAAGATGTAGCGGGGAGGGAAGAGGCAAAGACCAGCAACATGAAGGTGATGTGGAGCTCGTTTATACCTTTCTGGGCCTTTAATGCTCAGCACCGTGTATCACCAGGAGCCGTGTTATGGACCTCTGGAAAAATCTATTTCGAAACCACTAATCTACTCAGCATTTAGCAGCATGTGACCCGTGGCGTGCTCGTATAATAGCGCGATACTTGCAATACACTTAAGTGTTGCGCTGCTCTCATTTACAGTCATCACACACAGTCACAAATGCACACTGTGGCCTCGGGGCATCTGAGACATTCACAAATAACTTTCTGGGCTGGCGCAGCGCTGTGTTTGAGGTCGGGAACAGCGGGTTGCTGGTGACATTTGAACAACCTTTTCATGTCCCCAGAGCCGAACAAGCCCAAGGTGTGCCGCCACGCTTGAACCCACAGCTTAAAAAAGCTCAGCCAGCTATTTCCAGTCCTGCCATCCCAAAAACAGACGCCGGGATCGCGTCTTAGCTTTGAAAGCTGTAATGGAAGCATGGAGGGAAACTTTGTGCACAGCAGGCAGGACCTCAGCGTGACCACCCATACAGAAAAGAAATAGTAAAAACTTACATGTGATTACTCATGAAAGTGGCCACTTTCGCATTACTTTCATACATTGTTTTAGTAAGTATCCAAAACATAGAAGTTTCATTATATACTTTTTCAAGGGATCTTATATCTGTTTTCACACTTATATGCTTTTCATACAAGTTTCACACAAGACAGATACAAAGTTTATAAGATTTATAAATATCTTTTCCATATGGGCAGCGCAGGACAAAGCTGCTAAACACTGACCTGTGAATTATTCATTCATAGAAAGGCACCGAACTCAATCAAGCTAGCTTTGCAAAAGCAGTTTGTTCCACTCTAACTTTGTTACTGACTTGTAATTCAATTATAACTATTTCACTTCAGTTTTAGTTATATAGCATCTAATGACGGTCACCTCTAATGTCGAGCCCAACATTTCAACAAATTCTTGCACCCATTTTCCTTAAAAAACCAAAGAGGGTGGACAGCTGAAGACTTGCAGCGTGTATAACCTCGTCTGTGAAGACGAGCTTTTTCTGTGTGTCTTTCATTTCCCGGATCTCACCTGGTTTCCTCCCAGGACTTCTAAGGTGCTTTCCATTTCGGTGAGCAGCCAGCTTAGTGATGACATATAAAGTCTGTGTGTAATCAAAGGTAGCATCAGCCATGCAGCCAGTCTGGAATAATACTACACCCACGCCTAATAACTCTCATAAAGATACACGGAGCACAATGTACATAAGAGAGGCTGCCATGGTAACTGTGAGGGTCAACAGACTTTTCTTTGCTTGACGTTATCTCCATGACAATTCTCTCTCCTTTAGCCTTTGTCTCAGTCTTCCTTCGCCTAATGAGTTGGTGTTCTGCCTTTGAAATCTGCAGTAGTTGTTTATGGATTTCACATAGTCACTGTGGCGACCGCTGCACGGTGTGAAGAGAAATCCACGTCTTATTTCACTAACATTCATTTTGTTGCCATGTGATCCTTAGTTTTCCAGTTTGTGCACACACACAGTGTTTCAGTATTAGTGAAAGCTTTTCTCTCATCTTTTATATATGTTGACATTTTCATACTGACGATAAGTTTTCACCCTTGAAGTTTGAGGTTTCCCATCACTTATGCCTGAAAGACAAATCCCTGTGGTGGTGTCAGCCAATCAAAGCCTCTCGCACACATTCGTACACGCTCGCCTCGCTGTCCCGTCCTCCTTTATAGTATCTGTGGGGAACAGCTGCACGTCTGCAGTACAGCCAAGCAACACCGCTTCCTACAATATAGGTCTATTCACAGCACTCTCCCTCCTCGGGTCTGTGTGCCTGTCCATAATGCAGTTTCCAGTCTCCGTTCACCGACAGTTTCCACAGTAGGAAAACCGTGGAGGATGTGCTGCCTCTGATCCACAGCGTCAGAAACATCGGTATCATTTCTGTAGTTACTGAAGGTTGGCTAAAAACTGACTCGACGACAGATTTGATGTTTACTGAGGACCCTCTGCTGTGTGTGTGCGTGCAGCTGAAATGGTGTAATCAGTAATGTTAATGTGGTGCCGCTTGGACACGTCTGATTACATGCAGAATTTTTAGTATTGAGTGAAATTAAGTTGCCATGCCAAAGTGAATAAAATGATTCTGGAGTTTTGCTGGTGTGCAGTGATAATTGCATCGGCCGTCTGTGCTGACACTGATATGACGCCCGCATTAAGGAGATTTAGCCAACCTCATCTCTGGTCACTTCTTTGTCCAGCCCTCAGTGCTCCGTGTCTTTGCCTCCACTGCAGAGTCGCAGCAGCTCGTATCACCTCAATAAATCTGAACAACCTGCAATGAACAGCATTTTCATCTGGGTGTTAGATTAATCTTAAATGTGATTTGTCAGGATACAGCAGTAATGTTGTTTATCTGCAGATTAAGTGAGATAAAACTCAAAGCTGCTCTGGGATGGAATCATTTAGTATAATCAACAAAATCTTATTTCATATCCTTGAACTTCGAGACTCTCAACAAGGGACGTCCTGTTTAAAAATACCGTTTGCAGGGTTCTGTTTGTAAGAGGGAGAACGAAGTAGTTGTTGCTACTTTATTTTTGTTGTAGGAGATGAAGTGATTAGTTGGTGTGTCCAATGTAACGGCGAACAGCCTGCCACTTTCTTTACTGTGCTCTGGATAAACCACCAGGCCAAACACCTTTTTAATGTAGATGTAAACTCCCTGCTTATGCTGGTACATTGCTGTTTAGACTGAAATCAGCAGGAGCCCAGGCATGGAGGAGGGAGGGATGCTGGGAGGCAGTGAAAGGTGAATCAGCCTCGCCTTTATTTCCAAGTGGCCCCGCTGGCTTTGTTTTGGAGCAGAATGAATTATTAACGGTGGCCTTCTGGTCGTGTTTTTCATCAGTGTCCACCTCCAAAGGTAAAGAGCGCTGTGATGAGAGATCTCCATTGACTGGCTCCTTCCACAGTGACAGCACAACTGTCTCCCTGAACTTCACCTGATCTATTTTAGTTTTTTTAGTTTGACCTGTTTCAGTAGAATCGAGTCTCATTTTGACTCGAGCATACCGACTTCTATATTTAGTCACATTGTAACACTTTTCTAGAGTAACGGCTAACAACATAGCGTTACCAAATAAATAGTGTATTCAGTATGATGTTGTTTCCCACTGCCTGTCTTTGCAACCTCAAGTCAAAGTTAATTGTGCACTTTTTGATAGATGTGCTTGTTGCTCTCAAAGATTATTAGTTCAGTAATGTACGTAGGACTTGATGTCACCTTAAACATGAGGGTTTAGACATTACGCTACTATTAAAGTCAAATACTAAAATTGATTTAATAATCATGAATGATGTCGTAGTTTATCGATTATAATTACTAATATAAACAGAAATATTTACAATGAGAAACTCTTACGTTCTGTTTTGATGCCTGAGCTATAATCTGTTTAAAGTCATCAGGTCTGTGCAAGCCTTTCTTCAGCTTTTATGTCCTGTCATAAGCTGCTGCATTACTGAAGAAATGAAATCGCAGGAGCTCCTATTATTATAAGATCATACACATTTACCATTATATCCTGATAGCAGTGTTTCTTGAAGCTGCATCCCCCGTTTTATTCAGGTGATGCATGTTTGTTCTTTCGCTCTGTGTGGCTTTGGCCTATTGTAGATTTTTATTATTATTTTTTAATATGACAGTCTTCAAAAAAATCACATTGAGCTGGCTCACATGCTTCACAGTAACCGTGCTCGCTCGCTGGCTTATTTCAGTCCACGCCATGGTCGCTCCATTCAGACGTTAATGTGTCGGTTTGTTTTCCAGAGTAATTAAAGTTGTTTTCTAGATGTGTGCAGTGTAACAATTTCCTGTCAAAATGACCACCACTCAATGACTTTAATGGTTTCTCAGTAATATTAACAAAGTTTCAGTTGTGTATGCATCATGCTGGCCGGTTTCTTTCCATCCACTCTTTAGATTAGCCAATTTACTGTCACTTGATCCCTTTCAGGATGCTCCCAACTGGCTGAAATACCTGGCAACTGTAACTAAGGGGCAGAGATAAGTGTGCTAAGCTGTTGGTAAATAAAGAAAAGAAACCTGGAGTCTGTTTGGATAATGCAGAAGATGCATTTTCCAATAATTAAGATGTTTCTTATCATACTGGAGGTTAACTGAGTGTTCATGTACATTATGTACACTTTGTTTGTGGCAAGCTGAGACTGAACACTGTACATATTATGACTCACCGATGTTATGAAATTTGCATTTGAATATTTTTAGATTCAGTAGTTATTTTTAGTTTTGTGTTTAAATACATAAAGCTGCTCAACTGCAGTTAAAATGTGAATAGTGTATGTTTATGGTATGTGTGCAATGAAGGGCTGTGTGACTAAACAGGAAAGGGGAGAAAAAGTGAGAAGGGCTTCACTTAATAGAAATAGTTTGAGAGATAAGTGATATGTAAATAGGAAATGTATCCAAATGTACCTCTGGGAGAAAGCCAGTCTGAGGCAGGATAATGTGGCAGGGAGCCTCAGGTGCAGCTGGGAGGGGAGGAGGCGGGGCTGTGAGCAGCGAGGAGGGAGAGAGAGAGTGTGTGTGTGTGTGTGTGTGTGTGTGTGTGTGTGTGTGTGTGTGTGTGTGTAGAGAGAGAGACTGGAGTGTGCAAGCTAGAGAGATTGTGTGGTGAGGGAGGGAGGGAAGTGTAAGCCAGTCACAGCATCTCTCCTCACTGCACCAGGGCTGAGGGACTCTCCATCCCCTCGCTTCTCTCGCTGCAGATTTAACTCATTTCCATCAGCGCAGTCATCCCCCCCTTTTTTTGCCTTTCATTTTTACTTGCTGCTTTGGACAGATGCATTGCATTCATATCCTTCAGTGTGCCAGGATCTGAGGAATTATTAATTAAAAACGTGTTGGTTTTTTTTTCTGTTCATCTAAAATAAAAGGGACCATTTTCAAAAAAAGACCGGGACTCCGACTGGGACTTTTCTTCTCTTTATGCTGCGAGAGCGGATTCCCTTTTGTTGTACCGTCAGTGTTTTGTTCAGGCGACAGCTGTACTGAGAGAAGAGTTGGAGGCGCTGCTATAGGACCCCCTCCACAACACTTGAAAGGACTAAGGCAACTTGGAAAATCTGCGGCTGCATTAAGCACTTGAGGACAAGGTCCCGAGCCCTTCTAGGTGCTGCCAGATTTTCAAGAATACCACAATGAAAATGGAAGTGTTGGGTAAATAAGCCGACTGTCGATTCATTCCCAAACCCCTCTCTGCAAGTGTCTGCGACAGGATTGCTGTGGAGTCAAAGTGATTGGAGCGCTGAGTTATTCAGGTGGCCTCTCATTTCTCCTGGAAAGTCCTCACGTCTGCCTGCATGGGAGTCTGACATCAAACACTCATCAGCCGCTCGACTCTTACGTTGGTTTGTCTTTTTCACAACTTGCAGTCCAGAACACTGAGAGGCAAGTTTGCACATTTGGATTTAAACTTCACATTGTTGGCAGAAGTCATCTGGACGTTGGGATGCTTTACCTCATGCTGCCTAGGGATGCCTTGTAAACACATTTCCCCTCACCACTGTGTGTGCTGAGAGAGCTGTGACATTATCTCCCGCGGAGATCCCCGTGTTGTTCTAGCCCGTGTCTGTGTTTTGATTCAGACAATAGCTGGGCATACACGGGCTCCAGACACTGGCCGGAGGACCACCAAAATAAGGGAAGCCTGCGGTTACATAGTAAACACTCTGGCACACAGTGAAACTTTGGATTGTAATAAAGAAATGAATTTAATTATACATCGCTGATGCTTTAATTAAACATAGCGATCACCTAAAATGTGTTTTGGAGCCACAGCGGCACCCAGAAAATCTCAGCTGTTCTTAAGGAGTGAAATAGAAATGCTCCATTATTGTTGGGGCTCTTTAGTGAATCGAGTGGAGCTTTGGACTTTGCTTTAACCTTGTGCGATTTCCTCCCTCGCATCATCTTTGCTCTCTGCCCTTGCGAGGACATCTCCTGCCCTCAGCCTCCTGGTGGCAACTCTCATTTAAATCAGACGATGAGGCCACCGACTGCAAGGCAGAGCGGCAAGTGAGCTCACCGCTGGGATACGTGCTGGCCGAAGCTTTAGGTTTACTGAAGGAATGCACCTTTCTTCGTACTACTGACCGCTGCCCACCCACTACTTTCACTGACCATGCATTATTGGAAAGGAGAGCCGAACGGGTTGTCCTACGCTGCTGGCGGCTGCATTGATTTTCCTCCAGTCTGCGTTCATTTGATCGAGACCGAGCAGCGATATGAGAGTAAGGCGAACGAAAGCGTGGGCACGCTAGGGAGCATGTTCAGCTCTGTGAACTGAGATTGGCTGCAGACGCCTGGCGAAAAACAGGAGGGCGACAGGAGAATCTCCAGTTTCGGCCCAGCTGCCTTTATGGGTGACACGCCGCAGTCCTGACCCACCTGGACGGCACCCAGAACAATGAACCAGTCTGAACTGACAACAGACCCTTCGATCACTGCCAACGTCAGCCATGGAGACTTCGTTCCTGGCAGGGCCTCGAACCACTCCTGTCCCTTGGGCTGGGGGCTGAATGGAGGCCTGGATGCTTGTATTCTGGAGACCGCTGTCATCGTGCTGCTAACTGTACTAATTATTGCTGGGAACTTGACGGTGATCTTTGTGTTCCACTGTGCCCCTCTGCTGCACCACTACACCACCAGCTACTTCATCCAGACCATGGCCTACGCCGATCTGCTGGTGGGGCTCAGCTGCTTGGTGCCCACCCTGTCGTTACTCCACTACCCAACCAGTGTCCAGGAGCCAGTCACATGCCAAGTTTTCAGCTATGTCATCTCTGTTCTGAAGAGTGTTTCAATGGCCTGCTTGGCCTGTATCAGCGTGGACCGGTACCTGGCTATAACGAAGCCGCTGTCCTACAACCAGCTGGTGACTCCGTGCCGTCTACGAGGCTGCATCACTCTCATCTGGGTCTATTCCAGCCTGATTTTCTCCCCTTCCTTCTTTGGTTGGGGTAAGCCGGGCTATCACGGGGATATTTTCGAGTGGTGTGCACACTCTTGGCCCACCTCCGCCCTCTTCACAGGCTTCGTGGTGTGCTTGCTCTATGCGCCTGCTGCCCTTGTGGTCTGCTTTACCTATTACCACATCTTCCGCATTTGTCAGCAACACAACAGGGAGATCAGCGAACGCCGTGCACGTTTCCCCAGCCAAGAGATGGAGGCCGGTGAAGGGAATGGTGGCGGGCATCACGGGGGGCACGGGCCGGATCGGCGCTACGCGATGGTACTCTTTCGCATTACCAGTGTTTTCTATATGCTTTGGCTGCCCTACATAATCTACTTTCTTCTAGAAAGCTCCCACGTGCTGGACAGCCCTGCCCTCTCCTTCATAACAACTTGGCTGGCCATTAGCAACAGCTTTTGCAACTGTGTCATCTACAGCCTGTCTAATAGTGTGTTCCGGCTGGGCATGCGTAGGCTCTCGCAGACCATTTGCTCCTTCAGCCACTGTGCTGCAGATGACCGAGACTTTGGCGAGCCTAAACCAAGAAAGAGGGCAAACTCGTGCTCCATCTGAAGCCATGTCTCCCACAGGATGAGGAAATAAGAATCCCAGCATGCTTAGCAGCTAGTTAACTCGTAGTTAAATTGGCAGGGCTCAGTGGATAACTGTATCAACCTTTTTAGCTGATAACTGTGACATTATCCTGGGCACTGGTAATTGCATTAAAACCCTTTCAAGGAGATGAATGCAGCATCTAAACTGAGATTTCAAGCGAAACGGGCGCTCTGCGGTGGCTTTTACTCTACATTACAGCGAAGGCTCTCTTAGCCTTTACATCTCTGTGCACATCATCGATGAGATCGGATCTACCGGAGAGACAAAACTGTAAATGCCAAAACATTCATAGATATCTCCTCACAAATCAAATGTGACCGTTTCATGTCTGTTAACCTTTGCTAGTGGTTGTGATTCAGAGCAACCGTCTAATGGATGTCTTCATGCTCTTTGTGTGTGTCATCAGTAGATACAGTGTAATCTACAGTTGTGCTCACAGACCTGTTTAAAGGTTCTAAGTGGATATTAGACGTATCCATATCAATGTTACACGTACGACAGTGACAGCAGCCGGTGTGCTGCTGTCACAAATACGACGGAAAATGGCTTTGACTGTTTTTAAGAAGTGAGCAGGTGGAGTCATAGTTATGTCAGGTGTTCTGCCCCCCCTTGATTGGGTGATCGGTTACAGCTGAGATTTAAGCTAAAGATTTTACGACATGAATAAGTGCTGCTAATCTTAGAAAGTAAACTTAATGTAATTCTGTTCTGACAGTATGCAGATCATATCTCATATACCAAGGGACTGTGCAGCTTTAGCACTAAAGCCTTTAAATGAACAACATGAACAAAATTGCTTAACACAGTTATTTATTGCTGGTCATCAAATGTCCATCAGTTCAGGTGCTGCTGTGATTGGGCCTGTACGAGATTGTTAAACAACTTTAATTTGACCTGAATATCATCAGCTGATTCGTGCTCCCCCCACGACAAAGCACCTTATTTCCAAACTGGAACAAAGCATATGTCAGGCTTAGCATAGAGTCATACTATGATGCTTAACTGAAGTCGGTGCAAGGTCTCCCTCTGTGCTTTGTATTCCACAAGCATCAGAAATCCCCCCCATTGATTCAGCGTTCCTGACGTTCCCATTATGAGTGTTCAGTCAGTTTGATGCATGACTTCATGATTTTGAACCAGCCAATAAATATCTTTTCTTTATACAAATGACAGCTGGATTGTGAACACAGATGAAGATGCAGTATAAGTGTCACTGTCCAAATCTTTTCTTCTACATGAGCTGCTTTGAGGATGCAGATGTTTCACTGTTGAATGTGGCTTTGAACCCACTAACACATTCACTCTGGTGCGGGGCCTCAGATGTCACAAGTTTCTTGTGCTTTGGGTGGCTCACCTGAAGGATAGTATTGAGATGACAGGGGCTGGGATTAATGTGACCTGATCTGTTTGTTAACAAATGACAGGGTAAACGTTTAAGGCTATTGGTTGTTTACCTCGTGTTTGTTCGTTGAACTGGTCATCTGGCGGTGCGCTTTATTTTTGCCTCGTCTTTTCTTTCTCCCACTTCTGAAATAGACGTGAAAATCTATATAACTATATAACAGACTGACTCCCACTTTACCACAGCACAGTAGGGTAGTCATTCCACTCTGTATAAAAGGCATTTTTATTTTCATTTGACCGTGTCAAATGAAAATAAAAATGCATTTTATACAGTGTCAAATGAGAAAATTAATTTCACATTAATACAGCAGCAGTCTTTAGCCAAATTACCATTTGGCTCCTGTAGTGGTGTCAGCAGTTTGTGGTTTAGGCCCTGTAGTGCATAACGGCCACGCGGGAAACCAGGAGACACAGCAAACCCAGCTCCCAGATACTGTAACTGTCCGATCTACTGCTGCGGGACACTTTGTGTAGACCAGGGGTGTCCAGCTCCAGGCCTCGAGGTGTCCTGCAGGCTTTAGATGTTCTTGATCCAACACAGCTGATTTAAACGGCTAAATGACCTCATCAACATGTCTTGAGGTTCTCCAGAGGCCTGGTAATGAACTCATCATGTGATTCAGGTGTGTTGACCCAGGGTGAGATCTAAACCCTCCAGGACACCGGCCGGTGTCCAGCAGCTAGGTCATCCCATCATTTTAAGGCTGCTTTGTGGTGTTTTACTGTAGGGCCAGTAAAACTGAGTCTAATTCTCGTTGACATGTTGGACATGGAGTATGTGAGCATTCCAGTTTAGTCTTTCTGGCCACCCTATAAATTGAAGCTAAAATCACTGTAATGAGATCTTGGACTCTTTTGATTAATCCTCAGGCTGTAGTGTCGTCACCGGCCTGTGGTCAGTCTGAGTTTGTTCCGGGAGCAACTAATAATGGTTTATTCATATAGTTTACTGTAACTGCTGGCAGTGTTAGTTTTTGTTTGGGGTTATTCAAATAAGTCAAATTGGAGGCAGATGCTCCAAAAAATGAGGCAAAAGTGAAAAGCTGTGGACATGTGTGCAGGTCCTCAGAGGAACCGCCAGCATTCTTCAAAATACTCCACTTTGGTCGATGGTGTTGGATTTCAAATAGTTGCAACTTTAATGCAACGTTAACGCATTATAGATTGTTTTATGTGCCTAAAGGTGTATTTTGTAGGAAAAGTGTATTTTATCTTGAGAATAATTGCCATCACATGGTCATGCTGCACTTTTTAAAAACATGTCACGTACCGCGTGAAACTTTACACATCCGAGGATACGTCGTCACTGCGCTTAGCTTTTTCTTTAAGCTCAAGAGGGTCGAAAATGGGTCGTTTCATAACTTTATCAGCGTTGATGTGATTTCTGACTTCCATGTTCTGCTCTTTGATATCTACATTTATAGAAATGTCCAAGTGAACTCACTCCAACAGCCATACGATCTGGCATATATGAGGTATAACAGTAGGGACTGTGTCAAATACTAGACTTAAAATATTCGATATATATATATATATATATATATTTTATTTTGATAGCTTGTGTTTTTGTATTCACTTTGGGAGCGTATTAGTCGGGTAGTAGATGAAATTATTATGACCTGTAAAATCTTCAATGTGGTGACAAACAATAACACGAAAGCAAAACTCTGTAATGACATAAAATAGAGCAGTTGTCAAAAAGTTTAAGAACATTTAAAGTGGAAATCACAGTTACTGGTATGAAGATGCACACGTGCTCATGCCTTTGTAGGCTTTCATGTAGCAGGTCATGTGAAACGTGGTCCTGGCACGAGGTTTCAATCAAAGTGCCGAGTGTTTAATAATCAATGATTTGTGTGTCTGTGTTACACTGACCAAACTGAAGTGGTATTAAAAAATCAGAACTGTTATGTCACCTTCCTTTTAAGTGCTTTGATAGAAGCTTTTAGTAAAAAGTGTTTAAAGGAAATATTATATATTTATTTAATTTATGTTTGAATCTTTATACAATATACTGCATATGAGTATGTAGTGCGTGTATCTGTTGTTGCTGTACAGCCAAAATAAGTTCTGGCAGGTGTTGTGGACCCGTTTTGTTAACTCACCTAGGCTGATGTTTGAGTAGGAGGCGAGTGTGTTAAATTGCACAGTATCTATTTTTTTAATTTGAAATTTTGTCAAAAGGTTTTTGCTGTTGCTGCCAACCTAATAAAGGTGAAAATAGTAGACATTGCTTTTGGACAGTGTGTGTGTTTCTGTGTATCAGTAGCTGCATTCACACCCTGCTGAGAGTAGTCGTCATATTTTCTCTGCTCAAAATGTTGCAGAAAGTGGAAACGTGGGTTTTTACTTTGTGGCCGAATCATGTGATTAGCTCACACCTGCCTCAGCAAACATGGGCGACGCTTTGATGTACAAGTCATTTTTGAAATGTTCTCAATGTGTAATAGAAAGGAAGCCGTGCACATTTATAAACAACATAAATCCAGGACCAGAGGAGGGACGATAAATCTACATCTCGTCTTCTGACTCCTTGCAGAGAAAGAATGGAATGAAAATTGCGACCTAGTGCAACCGCAGCCTACACGAGTGACTCTCATCACTTCTGTAATGATGGTATATCAGCTTAAGCTCTGAGGTTGGATCCCTCTTAGTTATACATGTGCTGATCCTTTTGACGCAGGCAGTCAGTACTGATACACCTGTGTGTACATATGGATACGGCGTATCCAGCCCAAAGTTATATCTTTAGGCTACACAGCAAACGCAGTAAATGACAAACAGATGAGGTAAAGAGTCATCTGTCTGACCTCTTTATTCTCCCGACTGATCTCTGCCACAGACTAGTCGTTCTTTTACTGGATAAAACTCCTTCACGTGCTCTGTTGGTGTGAACAGATTTCATATGATAAAGTTGTCTGTCTTAAATCAGCCTTTCAGATTTATTATGCTTTTAGACTGCGAGTGAGTTTCTCACCAGCCATAAACCCTGTGTCATCACCTAGTGGACGGAGATGCAGGAGGAGACGGAGAGCTTTCTGGAAAAAGTCTTGCCAAAGCAGCCGACTGAGAGGAATAACCGATTCGGTTGGGTCCAATGAGAAGTGCTCAGATTACATTTGTATTACAATAATGAACCAAATGTAGTTACCGCATAGAGACAAACTGCAAACTGTCGCATCCAAACTGACAGGCAAGCCGTGAGCAGCTTCCCAGTCCAGGCCCACTTGATGTTCACGGCCAATGCTATATCAGGAATTCCCTTTTATTTCCACAAATGGTAGCACTTGCCTCACGTCCTCGTTCCCTTTCCATCCTGCCACTCTGCTTCTTCCGTCCCGATTGAGAAAGGACCACCTGACCCTCTTTTGAGGTGGGGAAGTCATAATTGGAGGGGAAACCAGTTCCTGTCTCTGTGCGCTAATAGCGGAGCCTCGCGGCAGTCACCAAAAGCCTTTGATGGCACAAGGAGGGGCACACTTAGACACCCACACACCAACACTCGCTCATACATCTTGTATTGCCTCCATTTCTCTTTGAAAACATGAGATCCAGCTGATAGATGACAGCTAGTCATAGCCAGCTATAGCAGTCCTCAAACTGTAATTCATCCAGTGGGAGGTTAAACCCACATCATTATTGGATTTGTTGTCATTGGGGGGGCAATCAAGATTCAGTCCATCAATAGTTAATCTCAAATATTTGACTAAATTATCTTTTAAAAAGTTATCTGAAGGGAAGCTAATAACCGAGGACATCCATACAATGCTTCATGGCAGTCCGTCTACCTGAATCGTTTCAGCTGCAATGACTGCTTGATTGTGTCACTCCTCCGGTGCTCTCATAGCTTCCTAAAATGGTTTTCTTGATACAGATTTTCTAAAGAGAAAATTTTTATAATAGAATAATAAGGTAAAAATATGCCGTCCCGTACTCTTCCAAACCACAGTAAAGACTACGGTGAACTTCTGTGATGTGCAGAGAGGTGCGGGCTTGGTGACTGCCACGCTTGAGAACATGTCCTTTAACTCTAACACAGATTAACTCGAACCAAAGGAAATAAAAGAACACCCGTGATTCAGGTGCTTGTGGAACTACCTTTAGCAGCAATAACGTGAAGTAGGGTTGGGCGATATGTAAAAAATCAGTCCAGTACTCGACGATGGGCGATGTATTTGTGCATGCGCAGACTTTTTGATGGGCGGAGCAATGTAATCATGCACGTTCTGATTTGCAACAAGCACTTGGGCGCACTCTGAGGAGGGGGCACTTGCTCGCAGATGAAAGAGGCTGCTGTTAAAACAGCGCTAATATTATTTTCTGTTGATTGCTTCTATTAGCTCCGTCATTATTAGCAAACTTACTCATGGGCAAATAAATAAACCGCCCCCTGTAAACACGATCGCCGGTGGGCTCAGCCTATCATCGATAGTCGATATATTCATCCAATCGCCCAACCTTCACGTGAAGTGCTGCGGACTGGACTTTGACACACCTTCAAACATCTTAAATCATCAGATCTCCACCAACACGCTGGACAGCTGGCGTGAGGTGTTTATGCTGTTTGATTTTCACCAAAAGCAGTGCTGTGCATTATAGACAAACAAAGTTTTGTGGTTTGTTAAGAACTTAGCAAAGCTAAGCCATGCTGCTGTGTTCGTCTAGTGTGGATGCTCTTTGCTGGCAACTCTTCCAAACAAGTCAGTTGTTCAGGCTTTTTTTCTAACTATACTGTCGCAAACTTTAATTTTTAACACGCTAACTGAGGCCTACAGATTGTGAGGCAAGCTTGTTGCAGCTGCTGCCTCTTAATTCCTGTGGAAGCAGTGAGGGTGGCCCAAGTTTCTTCAGTCATATCGAGGACAACGCTGATATATTAGAAAGCATCTGCTGCAGTGACGACATACGAGTGCCTCTCCGGTGAACGCGCTTTTGAGGACGTGACATTTAATCAGAGTATTTATGTAATTGTCATGGTGACAAAATGGTCAGTGGTTCAGTTCTCACAGAGGACCTGATTCTTGTCCAAGTGCTCCAGAGCAATAAACAGAACACTTAGCTACCCACTCGTTGCAGAGTGCGCTGGATGGGAACATTGGAAATGTCTAAAATGTGGACTCACCAGCACTCTTCATCCGATGCTTTTAAGTTCACAATTCGATTCCACCTTTGGACCCGGCGAGTGCCACAGGTACACTTTTGTCCATCAGTTGATTCTTTGCTGAGAGCTTTCTCTTCCATCTCGTTTGAGTGCTTTGAGTTTCCCTGCATTGGTTTCACTGGATGAAAGTAACGATCAGCATTTCTGCAGGTTTTTTTCCACCTTTTGTATCTTAAAATCTCACCTTAGCCTTGAGCACCTGTTTATATTTGTGTGCCTGTAATGCATCTGTGACGTGTATACTCATGCATGTATAATACCGATTAGTAATCATTTTAAAGCTTGGTAAGTTTATACTGGTTAAGAAATTCAAAATAAGTTTTTACATTTTTTCAGAGAAGAAAATCTATCAATTTGTAACCAATAAAAAGTGATTGTTAAATTAAATGGAGGGTTTCTGTAAAACATGCTAACATCTAGATGAATTCTCAACTTTGGAAAAAGGATTAAAGATTTGAACAAAAACTAGGGACACTTTATTAACCACTGAATAAAAATTATAACTGATCTGATAAATACACATTAGAGTTCATTTTTATTAATTTAGTTAAATTGTTACTGTTGCAAAAATGCGAGCTAATTAAAAGTTTAGTTTTCAGATTACTGTTTGTCAACAACAGTTTATGTTGAACTTGAACGATATTTAAAACATTGGTACTGTTGTCGCCGACATCGTCACACAGCTGCCGCTCTCACCGCAGAAACTCTCTTCCTGTTTCAAGTGGATTTTATTGTGACAGGACGGAGCTCGTTAAGTATCGGCGTTGGAAATGCTTTAATCCATTTGTCTTATTACTGCAACGCTAAACTAACATCTGAAGAGTTTTTAAGATTTAATTTGGCATAATTTCCACTAATATTCCTCTTTTAGCTGTTCAGACACACGAAGACAAACACCTTGACAGACAGCGGAGGACAAACCTGTTTTATTGTTGCCCTCCCTGCAGACCTCAGACACTGAAGCTCTGCCAGAAAACCACTGCCAGCTTCTTTAATTCTCTCTCGAGGCATTTTATCTGAATGAAATACCATAAGCCAGTCAAACTACTCCCTTGGGCCCTCGGCATATTCCTACTCAGACCTGCAGACTTTCCCTTTGTGTCTCTGAGAGCCTTATCTGGACAACAGGACTGGTTGTGTTGGGCAGGTTAGTAGCGAGAGGCAGCTCATCTCAAACCATCATTAACACGACACATAGCTTCCCTCCTTTTGTAACCAAATTGTAACTGTGTACGTTTTTTATGTTACACAATTAATAATGAGTAAATATTAAGCTAAAAGTCAGATGTTGTGACAGATGGCCTGCGCAGACGTTTTGCCAGCTCTGGTTTTCGCTTGTCTCTGGTGTGTGAGGAAGCACAAAAAGCTCAGATATAATCAAACTGGTTTGCCAGTATTTGTGTTTGAAGTATGAGCCTGGAGCACTGGGAATGGCACAGGACATGTTAACCTTCATCATCTTGGTACTCCCTGGATAAACTGTGGGTCAGATTGTCATGTCTCTGTCTTGGTGTTATACAGCCTCTAACATAACACATGGAAAGGTGCGTACTATAAATGCAGGGGCAAGAAATCACACTACTCAATGTGAAACAAGTGTCTATCTTCTTTCATGGACCCACTAAGTGTTTGACCCACTATGCCACCTCTATCATCCCCTGGGGGTCTTATGTCCCCACATAAGAGGTTCAGCTGTCCTACAGTGAAAATGACAACACGCAGAAGATGTCAGATACCTGGGGGATGCACCGAGCTCTGTGATGCAGTGTGAGAGGTAGAGAGAGCTGCGTGCCATCAGAGGGGCATCACCTACCAAATCTGTTGTTTCTATACTAGAAACGTTCCAGGCAAAGTGCCACATGACACAAGGAAGTACAGCCAGCCACCTCACACACATGGTGATATGTTTACCCAGACTGCAGTTTGGTGGTTTTCACCTCTGCAAATAAAACGTCTAACATCTACATCGATGTTTTTGTCCCCTCCCAGTACTCTGTGCCTTTACTTGTTACAGTGTTGCTCCTGTGACGCGTTTCTAATGAAGCTGAAACACAGGCCTTTAAAGTGTACAAGGGTAACTCGAAGATTTTTCATTGTATGAATTGTATTGTTTGTTTGTCTCCGTGAAACAAATTTCCCTAATGTTTATGTCTAGTTATTTATGGGTACAAAAAAATTACCAGGTTGGTTTGTTGCAGAGTGCCCCCTGCTGGACACTCGTATGATGGTTGAAGGGTGTTTCTGCCGTCTGTTTTTCATATTTTCCATTATATTTTTTTATTTATTGGATGAAAATGATTTAACTGGCTAATATCTCTGCAAGTTTCATTTGCATGGCGTCATAAATCTAAAGTGTTTATCCAGGATAACTCAGGTGCTTGTGACAGATCACAGATCGTCTTTGAACGACCTTAGTGATTAAATGTTGTATTTCATAGTTTTGTATTACTACTGCAGTGTCTACAATTCCATAAAAAGAATAATAAACTTCCATTACAATTTGTTATTATACATTTTATTTATATATAGATCTATATAGATACAAACTATTAGACAAATTAAAGTCCTCTCATAGTATTATCATCGTATTATTTATTGTATTGTTTTATTTCCTTTTATTCTGAAAGAGGGTGCTGTTAAAACAGCACTATTATTATATTTCGTTATTAGATATAAAAACAAACAACTATTTATTTATTACTTTAAAAAAAAAATTCTGTTTCTTCATTACTTTGTCTTTTCGCTCTGGGACCGTGTGTATATAATTTCGTTCCACCTCATGTTCACATGTGATGCGAATGACAATAAAGCTCCTTGAATCCTGGTTCGGGAGCAGGAACCAGATTATTATTTTTTTTAAATCTAATTGAACCAAAAAGCTGTTACGTGGGTCAAGTTCCAGTTGCTCTTATATTAAGCCAGCTAATGAGAGCACAGACATTGTCAAACAAGCAAAAGCTATTTTATTTGTTTATTTTTTAAATAAACTACGTTTTTGAAGTATTTCTTTATTCATAAAGAAAAAACATTAAAAAGACGTTGATGAAAAGTCCTAATGAAGGTAAATGAAACGTAGCTGCAGTTACAGCTGTGCCAGTTTAACTGTGAGGAAAATGAAATTTAGCGTGCGCGCACCATGCTCAGCTTATTGAAATGCAGAACCAGCCGCACCATTAAAATGCCACGGCAGCGATACAGACACAGATGAATCTGCAATCTGCCAGGCAGGCCAGCTGTTGCCCCTCCACCACCACCCACTGCCCACCCTCCAGGGAAGCCTCGAGAAACTTCCTCACCAGCAAGCAAGCACAAAGGCCTCAAGGGGAGCTGGGTTTTAATTACTGGGCTGTGTCCTCTGAATATCATATCTCACTGCATCACACGGAGGGAAACGAGGGCAAAAAAGTAATGAGGAGTGTTTGTGAAGCCAGGTACGTCGGCAGAGAGGCAGTCATTATTGTTTCCCGACGTCTGGCTGTGTTGTGACAAAGGGCCAATAATATGGTCTGTCTTTGCCTCGCTAACATGTACAGTTAGCATCGCTCTTTGGAAGCTCTCGGATACAAAATCTCGGATTAATCAGGCATTTTGGGAGTTTCTTAAATTCATTTCATTCCCTTTGTTGGGCCTTTGTAACATTTTGAGTTTTCCTCAAACCATAAGGAAGCTCAGTGGAAACAAATGGAAACCATTCTACATTCACAGCTAAAGAAAGATGTTTGCTGAGCATCAGGCTTTATTCTGACCAGGCTTCCTGCAACCAAGAAATGGTCCCATCTTCCTTAATTAGAACAATATTTCTCATTTCATTAATACTAAAGAAGCTTTGCATGATTCAGAGTTAAAAATAATCCTGCTTATTTCATACTGGGCCTCAGCGTGTTTGATAGCTTTAGCTTCACCCTCTCTTTGCCTTCTCACTGTAAACAGAAGGTTTGAACAGCAGGTGGGTGGGGCTGCTGTGAGGTGACATCACAGAGACCTGAGAGCAGAAAAAAGCACGGAGCCCAAGCTGAAGCCCAACCTCGTGGTTCATATGGATTCACGTAGAAGTACAGTTTACTGCACGTGTTTACAGCAACAGCACGTCTTCTGCCCTGCTTTCAGTGCCGCTCCTTCATTGAAGAAGCTCCATCCAAAGATAGAGGCCAGCTAATATTCTGCCTGTCAGTCACTCAGATTGTCTCCCTGCTTAAGTCATTTCCTCTTCTCTTTACATCTGTACTTTAGATTCTCCACATTCTCCTTCTGTCTGGGTTTATACTGTTAGTTTTCTCACTGCGTCTTATTCAGCTGCACAGTTTTCATTTAAAGATGTAAGTTAATAACAAATGAAATGGTGCCTCACAGTGAAACAGACATTTCTTTCAAGCAGTCTCGAGGCTCTGACTTCATATGGACCGTAGTCTGATCGGTTCCAGGGTGCAGCTCTGCAACAGACGGGCTCTTTACCACACCATCCTGCTGCTTCATGCAGCAGCTGTTCCCTAATATGGTGCCGAATGCGCCGCTCTGACAGGGCAGCTCTTTCCTTTGTTGTCTCCTCGTCCCCGTTGGAGACGTCGCTGTCAAAGTCCATCAGATTTCTTTCAACGATCCTCCACCGTGGCTGGCAGAGTGTTAGGATGAGGCCTTCTGAGAACAGGATCGATTACTGGACAGCGTGCAGAGATGCTAACTGTTGGGCCCGCTGGTTTAGAGACTTATTACCGTTAACGAAGGAATGTCTTTGATCATACAGTTTGAACCAAGACGAATTTAAGTACAGTGATGGCAACATTTAACAATTTGACTGTGTTTCTGTCTTTAGAGCCACGGTGAAACCAGCAGGAAGAGCATTTAATTACTGTTTAACTTTCACCATGATTGTACTTTGCAAGATTTCTGAGAGACATTGATTTAAAAAAAGCATTTCATGTTCTGAATGTAGTCTCTAAACCGCGGTTGAGACCTGTTCGCCTCATTTTTCACCTCTCAGTAACTCAGCTGTTGTCCAGTGTAACTGTCTTAGTTTGGCGTTTATGCCTGCGGACAGAAATAATAGATATTCAGTGCTGGAGTGCCAGGTTAGTGGTACGATCCTCTGCTTTTACCTACAGTCACCGTGTCTTGCTCACTAGCACACTGGGAACTTTAGTTTCTTATAAAAATGTTCTCTGATCTTCGTCAGTTTGAGTCACAACAAGACCAACACAAGCGCACTAAACTAACCGTTCTAGTTTATTTTGCCTTTATTGAACACACCAAGTAATCTATCGCAGTCCAGGATGAGGAGAAAAGAGAAAGAAAACCTCCGAGTTCTCCTAAACCTTCTCAGTTTGCTTTCCCTCGGGCTCTGGATACCCTGCAGGCATTTAAGAAACAATCTCTTACATTTTCTCAAGAAGATTGCGCACAACTACTCTAACAAGAAAACGGGATTTTGTTTTCACGTAGCCAAATCGGACTCGTAGCTTTTTAATCAGACATTCCCAGAATTATTGATGAGCAGAAAGGAACGTCGTTCTAGTCCTTGTGTGTGTGACCGAGGTTGTTACTGAAGCCAGCGAGCCGGCACTGAAGTATGAAGGCTTTTGTTTTGTTCTTGAATGAAGGTCAGACTGGATTTTATGAGAAACTTTCATGTTTTATTATTAGTTATGCAAGAAATCGTGTTACAGTAACTGACTCTCACACACTGTGGTATAAATGCACACACACCTCACATCTACCTTTCAGTTTTATTCTGCACGTATGTAAATGATTTATGTCGACCTCGCCGATTGAGCCGATATCCATCTAGTGCACCGCCTTGAAATTATTACATCTCCTTTAATGACTGTGCACCAAATAGACATCCAATATGTGCATATTTAAGGTAAATAAAATACATTAAAAGGGTATAAATTACATTTCTGACTTGCAGCCGTCTTGTAGTTTTATTGTATAAATATGGAGGGATATTTACATTTGAATCTTTCTGTAATTATTCTCTGCACACATTTGCAGTTCACACGCAGCCTTCATAGCTGCTTCCACCTCTGATTGGCCAGGCTGTCACTTTAGGACTTAGTGGGCTCTGAGTGTTCAGCTGTCTAAACCCAGCATATTTGGCTTCTGCCTCATCGGTTTAACAAAGCGTGGCTGCCTCTGAGTCGAGGGGTTCACCAGCCAGCACCCGTGGGCCCCTTCCACACCCGGGAGTTGCATAACACTGTCAGAAAAGGAGGGTTACTTGAGAGCTCGCTGCTCTGTAGAACGGTATAATAAGGATGGAGCTGCTTCTGAGATTCTGCATTTACATTTCTACATGTAGAGCATTTAACTGCCACTTTTATCCAAAGAGCCTGACAGTGTGAGAGCAGGTAGGTGGTTCATTATTTCGCTCAAGGACATTTTGACAGGATTTTGTGCTGTTGATGGACAGACTGACTCATGCTTCTGAAGCGAACTGTTGAAGTACTGACCTTGTCATTTTTATAGCCTTACTTCACTTTGTTCTAACATGCCTCATGTTCAGAAATGATTCGAGGCTCCTCGGTGCCGCAGAAAACCCCACAAAGCCGATTGGTCTGTTCATGGGGCCACATCGTTCGTTGGTGAGCGACTAATGGAGTCGCCGGCTTCTGCGCCGATGCCTTCCACCATAAGTTTGTTCATACTGTTGGGAAAAAATAATGTAGTTGTAGATCTAACTCAAGTGGCAGAGTAGGGCCCATTTTCTTGCATTGCGATATCAAATAAGCCGTGTTGACACACTCCGCAGCTCTGAACGTTGCTACACGAGAGCTGTGTTTACTATAGTAGCTGCAGCTGAAGCAGACTCCTGCTGGCTCCTGCGTGAGAAAAGGCAACTCTGGGCAGTGTTTTCACTGATTGCTCTAACATCTGCCCACACACCTATATACTGTATTTTAGTGCCATTAAGACACTTGTTTGCAGTTATACATGTATAAATTTCAATGCAAGGATACAGACAGCATTCAGTCTTCAATTGAATAGACTCTCACGTTGCTTCCCAACATGTATAACATTATAAGTACATAGCTCCAGAGCACAGCACACCCTTCTGCCTGATACGGTGGAACCTTCCAGTGGAGCAGCATGACGGCATTTGTCAAGGTCACGACCCAGTATGCCTAAAGGTCCCCCGGCTTCATTCTTCCCCTCTGACGAGACGCGAGGGGAAGCCCAGACCAGGGAAGCTAACCTGTCAACCACATTTAAGACAAAGTGTGGTGTCAACTCGGTCACTCGGCTCCTGAATCAATAGTTTTCAACCATGGCAGGTGTTTGCTTATGTTACCTTCGAGTGTAAAATGAAGGCCCAGCTCCCATGGCTGTAATTAACATTTAAAACATCCCCCATTAAGCAGCTGCCCTTTTACTGCTTTGCTCCCTAAAGCCATAGAAGTAGTTAAGTATCAGTCATTAAAGTCTGCTCTTTTTTTCTTCTTTCATGTATTTGTTCTTTAACTACTACCTACCATCCCTTTTGCTCCAGTGACGTTTTAGCAGATACTATACACAGAGTTAAATGATTATTTCACTTTTTCTCATATTTATAATC